AATGGACCTCATCATCTTTCGCTCGTTGATTTGTTCTGACGTAAATTATAAGTAAACAAAAATGAACAAGAAATTCTGGCAGCTACATTCATTCACCAGGCAGCGTCAATCGCTGCCAATATTTCATCTAGTCGAACGAGTGTTTGGGAAGCAGAGGGATACCCGAAGTGAAAAGCTATAGGGTCTGCTTAAAAAACACTGATCTTGTACAGGGAAGCATGTTCTTTGCCCAGATTGTTCATAATTCAGCTGACAGCTTTCCTTAGCCGCTAAGGCATCGCCACCGATTTTGTGTTGCTAATTCAATCTGCGAAATATATATAACACGTATTCTGGAGGTACTTTCTTTTCGAAAAATGAGTGCAACGTAAACAACTGAATGGCAGACGACGATATGAATAAATTATTATCATTCGACCATCCGCCCATGTGCGTATAAATACACGTAGCGTGACTATTTGTGAGAAAACTAAGCCCAAAGGGGTACACTGTAAAAAAAAGTGCGATATCCTTCCTCACTTCGCTGGATCCTTAATGGTACTGGTGCAGCTGCTGAAGAATGGCGACAGTGTGATCGGGAAATAGAAGGCGAAAATTAAAGAGTCAAAACAATTGCCGAACGGAGAACGAGGAAGTTGTTTGTCTCTCGTAGCTCAACGTGGAACATTTTTCAAATATAGAGCCGTTATTTTTGATGTATCAGTTTGAACAGCGATACATGACAGATGTTTATCGAATATGGACAATACTGTTATCCATTACAAACTGCAATGTTAGCTATAAAGGTTGTTGGAGCCGTTCTTATTAGTAAGGCGACGTTGAAAGTATATTTATGTGTAACTTTGTTAACAGTCTGATCGGAATAGAGGGATCACTAAAGATCAATTTTTGAAAGGCGCCTGGAGTTGGCACTGCTTTTATCTATCGTGGATTTTCCGTTTTGCTGCCCAGCACAGCATTTACAATGGTGTATACTTTTTTCGATTTAAGATGGCTTTTTTATGTTTCGAGTTTTACATCCGGCCTCGATCAGGATCACAAAAGGAACAATGTCTATGCTTAGGTTGGAACCCAGACCACAACGTGTCCCTACGATTAGCGAGCAAATGCGTTACTCATTAGCCTGTCATAGGCATTTGATGTAATTGGAGCATTTATAATTTCGATAGAAGGGTTCATCTCTTATAAAGAGACTATATAATAGCTGACCTTCCCTAAAGCTGCAAAAACGACACACACTGTTTTTTCTAATGGCTGCAAGTTTGCTCAGACCTTCTGGTAACAAGCCTATATTTAATAGTATCGCATTTATCGTAAAACCACAGGCCACCAACTCATAACAGTTCTGCTTAGTGCGAAGCATTTTACATGCCATCGCCTCAGGTTTCTTCATGAACCCATTTTTTGAGACTTGGTTTAAGAAACCTGCGCAAGTAAAAAGTGCAGCGGCAGTAAATAGTATTAATAGGGCCTATGTGTGTCCTAAACCTTGCTTTCAGTGATTTAGCGTTTCGAATGTACAGTAGCAAGTCTCACCGCTTTGAGCCACATACATATTGTCCGAGTCAAACTCATCTGATTTGGTCACAAGAAGTTTCTTAGCGTGACTCAGTAATAGGAACCCCTTAGGCCACAGTCCGAACCATATGGAGACCTAAGCCATATAAAATGATGGACATTAAAAATGGCATTAGGGCTATTTTATACCTATATATGGCTGTTTCGTTTGGTAATACAGAAATGTGCCTCGTTAGAAAATATCGTTTTCAATACAAAATTAGAATGGTATTATAGTTGCTCTTTGGACCGAAAAACGAAATCCAACGCTTCATATAGCGTACAGCCTTGCGGTTTTAAACTTTTACTATAGCTGACTTCGAATTAGCTTCAACGAATTAGGACGCTACTCAGTTACGGTACTAACGACTTGTTGCGCGTTGATCTTCCGTAAGTGCATAAGGCCTGGGGCAATAGATAAAAGTCAGTCGTTTGAAATTTCTACACAACACGACACAAAAAGATCCTGCGAGGTGCTATCTACCATATGATTTAGGACACGGTCGTAGACGCTGGAGAAGTTTTTCTTTTGTGCCAAAACTCGATACCAAGACGATTTTAGTGAATGATAAAATGATACTCTCTGGCAATTTTTGTAAACAGTATGTTATCTGAATTTAATTGTAGCGGAAACAGTTGAATCTCTCCCATTACATATAAAGTCAGCGGCCGAATAAATATGGTTTTCGGTTCGGATTGCAATATTACTCCATTGAGTTGTTATACATACTAGTAATAGATTCTGTTCGGGTAAGCAATATATGTGTATCTAACGTTAATATGGTTACGGCTGTGATGTTGGCACTTTTGACGCGATGACGAACATTATACAAATGTTATGTAACATGTTTGTTTTAGTCTTCTCAGAACATTTATTACAGTAGTTGTTGTGGAGGGAACTCTCCCGCAGCGGCAGCATTTGGAACAGCATTAGCCCGCCGTTAAGAGCGCCGTTTTAGCTACCGCTGCTATTGGTAGTATTATAGATTGCTGTTAGCCACGCCTTCTTTACTCTAGTGCCCGTCTTCTCTGCCTATGCTCCCTGTCTTACGCGCACACTACCTCTCATTCGACTTTCTCTTGATGTCTTAATCGCTCAGTTTGTCTTCCCCACCCCACCCCTATGTCCCCCTGCAGCGGCGCGTCGGTGTTATCTTCACGGCCGGCCGGCCGGCCGTTCTGTCCCATTCTCGACTGTCGTCAGCCCTTTGTCTTTTTGACAATCTGCTTCGTCGACACTTGGTACTCCGTCTATCCACATGCTACGGCCACAGTGACGACCATACGAGATTATGCTCTTCCGTATCGTTTTGTTTGACTATTTGTCTCTGTCTGTCTAGCGCGCGAATGTCGATGAGCCGCATTAGCTGTGCATATCGGCCTGCTTGCTTCTTTTGCCCGTTCCATAGTACTGCTACTAATGCAACGATCATTACAGCGTCTATTTTGTTGTTGTTGTTGCCACTTCTTCTGGACGAACGCCGTGCGAGGGGTCAACGCCCTCTGACGTTCGGCCTTCAAATTAATCAAACTCTGCTGGTCGATAACAACATCAGAGTCAGTAGCGAAACGACATTCTCGCTCACTTGTTCACGCACAGTCAGTCAGTCAGTCAGTCAGCGTCGTTCGCATCAGACAGCGCTAACAATGCGGCTGCGGCGGCGACGGCGGCGGCGGCGGCGGCGACGGCGGCGGCGGCGGCGGCGGTAGTAACGTGTTCAACACAACGATGCTAATGATGATGATGATGATGCTTGTAGTGGTATAGACGGGAAAAACATACGGCAGGTTGTTGTCGAAACCGACTGGTCAAGGCACCGACAGGCATCAAAATACAACAACCGATGGAGTATAATAGTAGAAACAATGGTTTTAATAATATTATGGATTATTGTTATAGCGCAGGCAAAGCACACGGACGAATAAACGGCCGGCGGATATTTTAGCGGCGTATCGCACCAATCCGACTCATGGTCGTCGTCATAGTAGTAATGACAGTAGTTAGCAATCGTCATATATGTAATCGAATATAAATAAAAGATTTCGAGTTTTATATCCGGTATTGGCGTAAGCGTTGCTTCAGAAGATAAGAGAATATACAGCAGTGAATAGCAGGACACAGCGATCGGCGTCACCGCCTTTTCGGAACAGTAGAAAAGTATGAGTAGGTATTTTTGGAAGTGCGGCGATCCAGGCCGAAAGGTTGGGCAAACTGTCACAGGTACCACTAAGTAGTACCAAAAATTCTAAAGCGAAGCATAGAGTGATGCTGTGGCACGTGGTTAACATATCTATATCTGGTGCCTGACGAGTTAAATAGACAATGAACAGATGAAGGAAGAACAAATGTCGCAAATTGGTAGTGCTGTTTCTATTAGGGTTGTTCATACTATATTCAAGGAACAATGTACGTAAATAATGTTAGCGGACACAAAGACTAGGACACTTCTACTAGTGAGTGAGTTGATTAACAGAAAACCTAGTAAATACATAGTACTATTAGCGGCATCTGGAGAATCTGGAGATAACATCGGCAGAGTGATTTTTGGAACGAATACGTAGGTGTGGGATGTCGCCCAAAACGGGCAGAGAAGCATAAGACATCCAATTGTGCTCATCTATATGATCTAGAAGATACTTTTTGCGTTATATCGCTACTACTTGACCTCGGTGAGATCGAAAATAGGACCTCCAAACAAAAATATTGTAAAATAATGTAGGTTCAGAACCTTACGTATACTAAGAAAGTCTGTTAGAGGGTTCTCACAATTCCTCAAGCGGGGAAAACAAGCGGTTGCCTATGTTTTATGGAAGGACATTTAGCAGGCCAATACAGCTGTTTGATTAAAATGATATTAAAGTGTAATCACCTGGCAGAAAAAGACAATCATAATTAAGGCTTTTGAGTTTCACATCGAACTCAAAAAGTTCGGCACGGTAATAATGCTTATTAGATTTAATATCAATTCGGCCCCAATGACATTTAGGGCGACGCGTAAAGCGTCGTAGACAAATTTTAATAATTGTTCAGACGTATTAGCACTCTGAATTGTTGAAGAACACATAATCTAGCCAAAAAACGAAACACACAGAGAGCCTGCTACAGAAACAGTAATTTTTGAGGCTGCACAGATACGAGATAAATAAACTGCTAGCAGTATTTTCAAGCCAAAGATTGGCAAACAGTTGGGCATATATAATAGGGAGATAATAAAGGTATTCGCTACGTCCAAAATTGACAATGACCAGTTTCACATATCCTTGTTTTATAGTCGTACAAGGCACAGAGCCATGTCAACAGGACAACTTTCCAGGTTTCCTTTTTCGTTCAGGGAAAACGCAACTCCCATGTGCCCCACGGTCGAGGTCAACGCAATTTTTTTTTTCTTAGGAGACATCTCACATGTTCAAACTAGGACTTTAACGATTTGATGTCTCAAATCATGGTCGCCAACCTAGCTCTGTGGATAGGTACACCCTTGCAAAAAAGTTTAGCGCAGGTAGGTAATGAAGTTTGGCACATTTCTCCACCAGCTTACGAAACAATAAACACAGAAATTGGTCGATAAAATGAAAGATCCGTTTTGTTACTCGTTTTAATTAAAGGACGGTATCAAGTGAACCAGGCTGAATTTAAAGGCGTATTTATTAAGAACACATAATGCGTGAGCCGAAACGAGATGTTGATCCTGTCTTATAATTGAAGAGGGAATATTATATAAAGGAGCAGATTGATTTTTTTTATAAAAGTAGCAGCCTAAAATAGAATATTTACAGTTGTTTTGTCAAAACGAGCAAGGCAAGATTAGGTTTGATATGAGTACTATCTGTCTTGGGTGAAGTAGTTTTTTCATTGAGATATGTAGAAAAAAGGCAGTGGAAGTTCCTCGTAGAATGAGCGCCAGACGTATCGGCGATATCACTAGACTTAGTACGATAACGCCACATGCGACTTATCTAGCACAAAATCTGTTTTATTTCTTGATATATATATATATTTTTTTGGACAATGCTTTGTAGTAAAGTTGACAACTGTAGGATTTGTTATGCCAGTGTGTCTTATTTCACTACTATAGGGGCAATACTGTATTTAGGACTTTATAAATAACAATTGTATTTAAAGGTCAGATTTTGTTTTGTAAATTTTTATGAAGTCGATCGAAACGTCGATATTCATGTGTAAGATGTATGATTAAATAGAGGATTAAAGTATTTGTAGGTGAGGGAAAATGAAGCAGGCGAAAGCGTTTAAAATTGCAAAAAACGTTGCAAGTTTCTAGTGCTATTTTTGAACCCGTAAATATCATAGTTTTTTTGATTGAAGATTGCATAGAAGGAAGGCCACGGGAAAGGTTGATGATGTCTAAAAAGAAAAGTGGTCATTTAAGAGTTTATGTTCGCTAATTTCTTTATAATCATTTTATGGTGGTAAATAAATAATCGAGGTATGTGCCAGTTCGAGAGAGTATTATATGCGGAGTGTTGATAGAGGAAAAATGTAGATACTTGTCTTAACGAAAAAGACAAAGTTATCGACAAAAGTATTAACATTGGTTAAGTCGAAGACAATCCACCAATCCTGAATGAGATACCCTCTAAAAATTTGACTGGTAAGATATATGGTTTTTGTTATTAAAAAATTATCACAGAGTTATTACATATGACTCTATATTATCTGTAATGTGGACAGATTTATTGTCGGATGAGCAGGAGACAATATTCATCCGGTGTGTCGATCAAATAGCAACAAACACCACTTGCTAATTTAAGTTGTCTAGTTTTGGCATAATTAGCAAAATTTTCTAGATTGTGTATGATAATTCGTTTGAGCAAACATTTTTTTGGATATATAGTCAAGATATTTGAAGCCATATATGAGCCAAGATATTTGAAATTTTAGATGCGGTATTACTGCTAGGAATTGCTGTGGGCGGTTAGCTTCCAGCACGAAATACAATGTGCCAACGCTTGGTCTCGAACCCAACCTACCTTCAAGTTCACCCAAGTTCAGTGGGCAAATATGCTACCACTATTAAAAGGATTCAGCTAATAGTAATGATTACAGGGCAACAGAAAAATCGGCCACAAAGGAATAGAACATGTTCAGGTCATCGGAAAAGGAAGATGGTCAAAAAAAGGACAAATGGCATTATTATTTGTGAAAAAGTTAAGCAGAATAACTGAGAGAATACAAATTGAAAAGTATTTTTTCACACACGCAAATTATACTTTCTGAAAAGAATCATTACTGGCAGAACTACGAATTATGTAAATATAAAAAATACTTAATTTGAATTTATATTACGTATCAAAAGCACACTGTCTGTTACATTTGCTTCGTGGTAGCACATGTAGCTTATTTCTATTTAGAGAAACATTTGCGGACAGTTGGCATGATAGAACCATGTAGCTTTACAGTAGCTTCACTCTCGATAAATAGGGCGTTAATGTCAATAAACGCTTTAAAAGGGTATGACTTGGCAATTGGTGTTTGCGGGCAGGTGCTCTTTGCCTCGGCGACAGAAAGCGTCTTATTTTGAAATTCAAGTCAAGCGTCGCTTGACTCTAATGAATTCAATGCATTACTTGTAATCGCGGTGGGTTTGAAAAATAAAAGCACTGCACCGTATTGAACGTATTCCAAGCCAGAGGAAAGCCTCCGAGTTTGTCTGAGACTGCAAAATTTGGTGCACTAGAGGATTTGTCTTATAACCGTGATTGAGGAGGCAGGAACAAAAGATTGGAGCATATTTTGCATTATCCAAGCCTGTGAGTAGATCTTCCGTATAGGTACCTTCTAAAAGCATAAATTCCTATACACGAAAAACACCGTAACTCAGTTTAATGGTTTGAGCCATGCAGGACCAAGTGAAACCAAAATCTAGGCGTTAAATTATTGTTCTTATTCGCCTTAAGGGGCTATAGTTAGATAGAGAAGCTGAAAATCAGACCTAAATAACTTAGCTAGGTTCGAAATAAAGGAAAAGTAGAAATCGCTTCTCAACATTGTTGTTGTTGCAGTCATTCATTGCAGGCATGCTTATTGTCATTTTCGCTGATAAGGTGACCGTCGTTAGTACCGTCACCATCAGATGGTGATCACATTGTGAACCAACAAAATGCGCGGAAAAGTACAATATATAAAAGAATGTAGAGGCTAGAACGGAAGAGCCAAGAATTGCTGCTGAACTGGCCGAGTACAACGGCGAAAGAGTGAAATCAAGAACAATCAGCTGTAGTTTATCTATTTGTTACTCGTTTTCGGTAACCGCTCAATCTTTTTTAAGTAGGAAACCTACAAAACTACAACACGGACAACAAAAAAATTTACAACACGGACTTATAAACACACAAAAACAAGGCGATGAAGAACGGCTAGCTAAACTAAACGGCACCTGCAGGAGAACATAAGATGAAGTTGTTGATTGTAGAACAATAAGCATCAACTAATTCAAAAAAAGTTTACCGTTATTATTTTAATTGGCACCACGGCCAAGAGCACCAGCGATCGCAGCGTACGGTGACTACTGCAAGCAGCGGTGGGAGCAGTCTCGGTAATCCCTGCGCTGTAAACAATCTTGTTATTTCTCATTTTGGAGAATCGCGACACAGAAGGTCAGCGATGCAATGGATATATCAATAAATCATTTGTGTGCTAGCAAGTGAAAAATAAACAGTACCAGCGCACAGATTAAAAAAAAACAGATGTGCCTTGAATTTTGTGCGATATTGTTAGTGTGTAAAAAAAAATCTATAACATATTCGAAATTATGCACGGCATGAGCTCGTGTGGGTTTACCAAAAATAGCTTTACTTGTTACATAATATATATATTAAAAAATCGTAAATGTTCTCCAATCTACGTGTTATTATCCGATAGCAGTTTAGTTGTAATAGCTCTAGGATGTGATTACTTACATATTTGTTTCGAAGTCCAGTGTTTGTACATAGTTTTATATGTAGCTGTGGAAGATGGTACGAACCTATCTATTATTATTAGGCATACGCATAGGAAATGAAAGAGAGCGATCAAAAACTTCTCTCGGCACAATATGTTGACCTTTCGTTGATGAGAAAGCAATCAGTGTTTCTAAGCAAACAAATAACAACCAAAGTGGTTAAAATATTGTTAAGTTATTTTTGCGAAACAGATATTTTCTTACTATATTTATATTTTATATTAACATACTTCACTTGGAATGTAGTCTTTGATGATGACGACGAAATGAAACTTATTTGTTGAAGATTATAAACTTATTAGTTACTTAGTACTACGAATAGAATTGTATGTTTGCCGAACGCCCGCTGATCTGCTTGCTTGCTTGCTAGCATTAATGAGCTACTTATCCACAAACTTAAAATGGCCATATATATCATTGCGTATAATGTCTCTGAACAAGCCGCTAGTGGATATTTGCATTGCTATACATCAGCCCAACAGGTTACCGATATATTTATAAGAATAGTAGATTTGCCAGTTTAGGGGAAATGAAAGTGTTATTAATAGAGAGCTGTAAACAACAGCAGCCAGTTGCGGCCTCCATGTGTGTGGCTCGTACTCGATCAATTACAGGCTTTGTCCTGGAACCTCTGCATATTGATTTCTGATTATTGTAACTTGGCTTTTGTCCCATGGACGAACATTAAATAGTTGTAACCGTTTTAAAAATCAATAAGTAAACATTGATATAAAATGAACCCTTGGGCACATTGATTATCGATGGGATGTTATATTCTAGTGATTTATTTTCCTAACTGAATCGTTTCCATTCCGCTTACAGAAAGAGACGGTGCGGCATGATCGATTACGCGCAGCACAAGATGATCCCGATGCCCTCGAAGCGTTGGAGCGAACCCAGAAGGACGCGAAAGAGATGTCGTTGTCCAAGACACCTTCTAAGGTCCAACACGAGTCACCCGCCTCCGTATCCGCTACGCCACCTCCAGCGGAAAAGGCGACGAAAAAAGCTCGACGCCAACGAAAGCAGGCATCGACATCTACTAGTAGTATTGCTCCGCCGTCGATAACGAGCGAAGCTAGCAACGATGCCGCCTCAAGTAGTAGCGCTTCGCAAGAGAACCAGAAACACTCAAGCCTTAAGGACGTAAAGGACATCAAGGTCGAACGAGATTCTAGAGAACCTGAAACGCACTCGCAATCTCAGAAGAAGGCCGAAATCAGCACGGATGTACTGACAGGTGTCAGCGTCAAGGTAGAACCGCCGACCGTTAAACAGGAACCAATGGCGATCTCGACACCCGAACCGGACAGTCGGAGCACGACACCCTCTGGAGCGTTACGACCAAGTGGCCAACAATTACTTTCCCCAACGACTGCGCCAGCATCACCGGGAAAAGCGTACGTGGATGAGCCACTACAACACTCGCCACCTGTTGCTACAAATTCACGATCTTCATCTATTGCGGTGAGTTTCGAAATCAATGGATACAACAGGACAAGTGTATGTCCATGCAAGTGTATTATTGTCCAATAGCTGTACGTGCACGAGAAGAGCTTGTTTCTAAAAACGTCAATATGCTAGCTTGTGCTTTGACGAACTTTGTCATTTATTTGCTTACTTTGGGCATAATTTCTGTCATTTATTTGCTTACTTTGGGCATAATTTCGGCTTGCCAAAACGATGGCAGACACATTCACGCACATATTCATGACTATGAATATATATGACTAGATGTAAATGAATATTTTTGCGAGTATTTGGCTGTCCACGTACGTTCAGGTGGGTGGGGATTTATACAAAAGTTACGCATAATTAGGATTAGTAGTAAAAACAGCAGAAAGTTGCTTATGGCACGCCCGGAAAACACTTTCGCTCGTTCGTACAACTGTAGTTTTGTCGAAATTACCAGATTTCGATTATGATCGATATGCGTCACCCCTTGGCAGAATAGGAAACTGATCAATGGGCCAATATCCGCTTATAGCTGACACAGCTGAAAATCCTAAAAAGCACAAGGTTAGCAAATGGTTGCAGTTCATAAGTTAGTTTTGAAAGAAGTTGCTAGTTCCATTGCTTCAAGATCTAGGAAAACGATAGTGACACAAATGAATGTGACAAATCAGAGGAGAATCGAATGGGTTGCTTGGGTATAAAAATAAATAGATAAACTATGTTATGGGGGTAGTAAGTGCAATCGCACAATGATTTTTGTTATCTGAAATTTACATTGTCTTTCATAACACATAATTTCGCTTTCGTTGAGTTATAATAGGAATCATCATTACCAGCATCCATATCATTAATAACAAGATTGTGATTCAAATTTGCGCTACAATTTGCTAGCAATATATAGCTTACGATGCCTATGTATCCGAACAGTCTAACTAATAAATAAAGGGGGTTTGATAAGTGTCTTCGTTTTTTTTCAAGCTTCTAGATGACGTAGCAAGGTCCCCAAAAGCCAATGTGGCGCGGGCACTCAGCTTCCGAGACGATTTTGATATTTATGATGTGACGATCTAAGTCTATACTTTGTTGCACTTTTGTGAGTTTTGCTGGGGCAGTACCATTGGCCTAGCGGTCGAAAATTTTGAACTGTCTGAGTCAGTCTACCTACTATCGAATCATTATCAATATACACTTGGTTTAACAGTTTAAGATGGTTTATTGGATTGGTACGACTTTATCCTATTTTTATAATCGTCCATATTCGAATCCCATCGATAAATGTATTTGTAGGATATGCATGTATTTTTGAAAGCTTTGTATGGTTATCTGCCGGTACATTGACCTGTCATGTATATAAAGTCAACATAACTGTCGAACTTATAATTGTAATTTGTCTTCCAGCGAAAACGCATCGCCTCTTTAACACACAACGTTGAAATGTGACAAGCGCAAACATTGATCAAATTGTTTCCCTGTGCCCTGGCCACCTATATACTGACTAATATATATGTATATATATACATGTAGCTACTATTGTACCACTTCACTGTACCTTCCTTATCTGTCATGTCTCTATCGAGTTTATACAAACAACAACGACAGTTAACTCTTGTCTGCTTTTTGTTTTTAATCTGTTGTGGATGTGTTGTATTTATATCACATTATAGGGTCCGGGTGGTGCCGCTGAGTGTCTTCAACAGCTTGCTTCAATGACCTCACCACGTAAGTTTTACTGCGATCACGAACGAACTCTAGCTAATTATAACAGGGCGCCTGCTTGCATTAGCTAAACTCTAACAGCTATGTGAGAATTTTTGTGGTGACTATTTTTGATCGTGGCCTAGGAGCAGCCTCTACAATCGTTCTCAGCTTGTTTTTAATTACTATCGCTGTTTGTCCTCAGATAATAACTATTTTCCATAATTCACATATACAATACGAGAAGCGAATGATGAATAGCGGCAGCTAAATGTATAGATCTACTCAGACTAGTGTTTTTGTTTTATGTTAAACCTCGATAAACAAATAAAAGACCGTAACAACACTGTTACTAATAACGAACGATTCTACGAAATGGACAATGTAGAGAGTAATACGATACTTACTCTCGCTAAAAAAATACTTCTTTAAAAATAATTATAGAAAAAAAAAAAAAAAATATATGGATATTTTTCATGCACGCTAGTTATGCGTTTTGGGTTGTTCTGTGATTTGGCCATGGTCAACCTGCTTGTAATCTTATGTGTCAATTGCGTATGTATACAAACTATAATCATATGGTCTCATTATCCGCTTATGTGAATTAGTTCTATTGAATGTCAAGCGATAATTAATGAATCTTCCGTGATAATACTTTAGTATATTAAATACCTCGTTTTGAGTTTGTCTTCTTTTTTGTTCTCGCTTTTATTATTTACCAGTTACTTCTTTGTTCATTTGCCGCGCCGTCTCTTCAGTAATCCACTCAGCCAATATATAGTATATGGCTATTCTATTCATTCTCATAACGTCTGTTCTGACCCTCTTCTTTCATCTTCAGTCCTTCAAACGCTTTTAATCGAAACGTCCGATCGGGTCTTGTTCTAAGCGGCGTGTTTCTGTAGCGCACTTCTGTGGTTTTCTTCGCTGTCGATCATTTTTGATGTCGCATACATAAGCATCTTCTGTCATCAACCCGTTTTCCTACTGATGTGCTTCATGCTCGCTGTTGTTATTGTACCTGTTGCTGCTGCTGTTGTTGTTGTTATTATTGCCATAAAGAAATTGTTGTTGCTGTTGTCGATGTCGTTAATATTATCGTTGCTACGTTCTCTGCTGTTATTGCGCGTCGGGTCGATTTCGTTAGCTCATAAAGCCAGCTACCATCGCTTTGGACTTACTTGTCAAAAGCTAGAATAAAAAAAAAGACAAAGTACGTCACACACTCTACATCGTTGTCGTTTTTCTGTCATTCACGATCACTCTGTGACAAGTTGTCGCACTATGTCGACAACTACTGTAACAATGACAACAACAGCAACAATTACAATAGCAACAACAACAAAAAGCAATAACGACAACATAGATAACAAATCCCGACCCTATTTTTATCAATCAGTATGACTGGATTCATGATCTTATCTGTGCCACTCACCGCTTACTAGTCGTATTCCCTATTGCCGTCCTTGCCTCTTATCCGTAGCGCCTGCAGCAGCTGTCGCCGCTTCCGCTACCGTCAGCGCCGCGCAGCAAACACCTCCACCAACTGCTACAGCAGCAGCAACAACAATAATCAACAATAACACTACCATAGACAATAATAGTATGAACAACATGGTCTTGCCGGGTAGCATCGGGGCGGCGGTCCCCATATCACCCTCCCTCACTGATCAGCAGCTGGTAGCCTATCCCGTCCCTCCTTCTATTATTACCACCTCCACTACTTCTACCACTGCTAGCACCAGCACGCACATTCCGCTTGAGAGTCACAACCTTCAGCAGCTGCTGCCGCCAATAAGCACGTCGGCTGCTGTGGCTGCTGGTACTATTGCTGCTGCTGCTGTGGGCGTAGTCGGCTCGACTATTGCCCACCATTGCGAGACAGCTGCTGCCGCTGGTCCGGCGGCTTTGTCACCTCGGCCTGCAGAACCACAGCTACAGCCTCCTTCCGGCACGTCACTGGTAGGTGTTCATGTAGGCCCACTCGAGCCATGCACCAGTGCAGCCTCACCCGCTACCCCTGGCAGCGCCACCACTCCGTTGGGTGCCGACGCTGGCACGACTTCAACCGGCGTCGGAACTCTCGCAGGTGGCGCAGTTGCACCAGATGTTCATGTGGGTGTGCGTGCTATGTCGCCGCTACCTCATGGATTGAGTCCGTCTGCTGGGTCTGGCTGTCCGCCACTGCCAGTGTCAGCCTCTTCGCCGATCATTGGCGCCGTGTCAGACGCGGCCGGCGGAGGAAACAGCAGCAGTAGCAGTTGCAGTAGCGTGAGCAGCAACGCCACAGTCCTCTGCAGTGGCGGCAGCAGCAGTAGCAATGGAAGCGGCAATAGTGGCTGCACAGGACAGCAGGCGGCATCATTGCCTCTACATGTTCATGTTCTTCCTACAGAAGGCGGTGTCGGCGTAGCGGAAACGGGACCAGCCTCTGCGGGAACAACAGCGATAGCAGCTGCAGGTGGTGGATCAGCTGAACCGGATCCAGCGGAGTCTTCTTCGTCACCTGTCGACGGTGCATCAGCGGCCTCGGCCAGCACGGATGAACCGAGCAATGTAAGTCGCTCGGTGTCGGCGGAAAGCACGGCCACTCGACCGGCGTCGACGCCAACGCCCACCGGAGCAGGTGGCCACACGCCGGCGTTAGGAGCTCTTCACCGTAATGGCTTCCCACCGTCGCCCGCGTCGTCATCGTCTACGTCGACGGAGACATCAACAGGTGCTATAGTGGGTTCGCTAGCAGCAGGCCCCGGCCAGCAGACAGGCACTGGCAGCAGCAACGGTAACGCTGCGATTGTGGCAGCAAGTGCAGCCGCAAGCACTGCAGCTGACGTATCGTTTGCAGGCTATCCACCACCCGACGCGAAACGGCTCGCGCTCGATCCAGAACAATTTGGAAGAACCGGGACCCCTGGCCATCCGCATCTTCATCCGTTGTTTTCGCCCAGTGCAGCTGTATCGGCTGGTGGCCAGACAACAAAGCCTGCCCCGATCTCTACCAGCGCAGCAGTCAACAGCCAGTTACCGGCGGCAACGTCAGACCACTTACTCCTTCAGGTATCTTAACATTACTCTTTAATATTTTGCTTATTTTAATAAATATTAACTGTAGAAGTAACAGCGATTAGTATTCTAATTACTAGATACGACTGTATATGCCTGTAATATACATTTGTAGAGCGTCATGGCACTTTTCAGTGCAGACGAATGACGCTCGTCTGTTTACGTCATAGAATCCATTCGTTCATTGGTCTGTATATCGTCGATTTCAGCGAACGCACCGTTTTAACGTTGGAGCGTTTTGCCAAACGCGTCTGTTGTCAGCAACCGGCAACGCTAAACCGCAGGTGTCCAGTCCTTTTTTTTATTCCTTTTTTTGTAAAAATCACGTTTTTAGCGACAGCGAATGGTCTGTGAACGATCGTTACGAGCCGGCACACAAGAGCTATTGTTCTAGTAGTTGTAGCAATTATCGTAGTGAATCGCCTCTTTACTCATATACCCGGGCCAAGATACTATTTATATCTAAGCTCGTTGCCTTGTGCCATTAGCCAGCATCTCACACGGTCCTACGCTACGTCCTAATTTCATTTGCGTAGGGTGTCAACACGAGCCTCTCGAGTTTGTCTCAGCTTTCTCAGTCTCTCCAACCAACGGGCAAAGCGACACCGATCGTAGAGGGAACGGCAGCTGGAAACGCAACGACAACTTCGCGACACCCAGCAGTTCAACCTGTTTCTGGACACTATTCACCGTCGCCATATATTGGGAGTGCAGCCGCAGCAGCAGCACCGAATTCAGTTCCTTCAACGTCCCTCCCAGTTCCGCTGTCAGGCGTCGCGTCGGCGCCGACCGCAAGCGTTTCATCGGCGTCTACATCATCTTCGACGCATACAACCAATACTCTCACAAATCTCGTATTCGCAAAACAGGGATGGCAGACAAGCAGGTATGCAATAGTCAGTTTGTGAGTATAAACTTGTGCGATTTAATAGGTGTGATGATTCGGAAGTACAGTCGAAAACTAGCAGTAACTCTCAGACCAAATGTATCTTATTTTTGAAGGTATGTTAGACGAACCATCGCTCGAAAGACCAGGGCTCTTCTAAAGATAGATAGCTAAAAGTACTGCTAAGGACCATAATCCCACTTCTTCTGTAACCTAAATACTTTATTTTGCTTCCTGTAAATCTAGCATGTGTTGTATGCTTGTTATTAACCTATGCCTACTAGCACGGGTTCGTCTGCGAACGCTGGCGGTCGACTTACTGAGATCGGGGCTCCGGGTGCGACAGGTCGCCTTCCCTCGCCAGTCTCCGCTAGCTCCGCTGCCAAATTTGGAGCTGCTGGGGGTGCAGGGCACCCCACACTATTCGGTCTACCTCCGCCCGGAGCTCCGCCAGGAGCACCCGGAGCACCTGGATCTGGTGGTCCATCACCCTTCGTAGATCCACTTCTGCAGTCAAGTAAGTTCCTCTAGCAAATCACTATTCTTTATTAGTAAACTAGGGTATAGTTTATTTTAATAATTAATACACTAACAACTAACACTACAAATCAACCCCAGGTCACAGTACTCAGATTTAACCACGTCTTTTTTACGCGCGCGTTGTAAATAGACGTGCCAAGTACGGTTATCTGACTAAAGATTGCAATATCCTTTAATATGTTATATCCTTGTTGTGCGTCTCTCTCTGTGATACACTTTTACACTATTTAAGTTCGTACAGTGAGATGATAAACGTAACTTTTGTTGGCATCTTGATCAATTTTCACCTGTTGCACAGGTTTCACAGACCGTATTGCAGGACCGCAGAGTTTAACTTCACATAGTAATGAGATTTTTTTTTAAATGTGTATTCTTATTATGTCTTATATAGATGCCTTTCATGTTTCGCCTTGGAGATGTAACGCACTTATCTCGAAAGAACTGAAAGTAACTCTTTGACGTTAGCTGCGAGCTACGTAGCCTGATACAGACTTTAAATATAAAAAAATTAGAGATGATTTTATATACATTATTAAAATAAAACCAAGGAACACCAAGCTTTTAATTATAATAGTATACACATGTCGCTATGGCTGCCACATTATGATGTATAGGAAGTAGTCGTGAATTGTGCTACATCGTCAGCTTATCAGACATACACTTGTGACTTCAGTAAAAGACGGCAACACTAATAATAACAGAGAGGGGCAAAATAATTATGAGAGTAATAAATCAGTAAGTGGCTTTGTTTTCTCAGACAGTCCACTAGATGTATTAGGATTAAACAACAACGAAGTTCGCATGTCCTGTTTGCTAAGACATATCCAATTAAGAGAAAAACAAATCTCGCTTAGCTTATACAGGAGTCAGCAGTGGGGTCAGCCGCAGGCGCGGAAGTTATTCTTCTAGTGTGCCTAGATCGTGGCATTTTTTGGGCTATCGTATCTAAACTCTGAGGCATCCAGTAATAGTATATGCTGTACACATATACTCAATATGGAACATAGATAATAAGACGCGATTCCAGAAATCACGGAAGAAGAGCTTCTACACGTCGATCTTAAACAAAGTAGAGTTTGCCAACGACTGCTATTAAAGTACGGCTTTTCTCCAGATACAGTTAACTGTGATATGGCCCGTAGTACGATACCGTTAGAATCAGTGGATTCTGTCGGTTAGTGCGTCATATCTAACAAAATCCGCGCAGTTTTTTTACAATCACGCCCGTTATCATGAACTGGGTATTTTTTGCTTTATTACGGTTACTTAGTTAGGTGCGCAGAACTTAAGTAAAAGTAATATTATTTTCATCACATATGTATGCGGGTGATATTTTTGTTGATTTGCGGAAGTCTGCATGATACAGGAAGAGAGACATGTTATTTATATACTGATAATACCAGAGGATACGAGCGGACCTAGCGCGCAGCACTTTCATAATACGTATCGCGTAATAGAGATCACCCGTCTCATGCAAATTAACACAGTTACGGAACCTTACAGTTGACAGATGTAATTCTATCTATTTAAGTGTGCATTAAGTAAACATTGCCGTGAACCGACAGCGAAAAAATTAAAAAAAAAAAAACTTGAGTATTATTCATAGCGTCCTGCATCCTATTTGTTCTTGTGGCTATTTCATTCAAATCGAATGATCTCTTAAGTACAGCGGCGCAATTTCGGAGCACGGTACGTTCTGTGTATTAAAATAGATATATGAACGATATTGATTCACAGTTATTCGTTTTTACCTTCGATACAGATGCCGATCTTCTCCGCCGGGAACTCGACGCGCGGTTTATTGCCAGTCAAGATCGTTCAATTGCTATGCCTCCGCCCCCATATATGCAAACAGATGTTCAAGCGGCTGCAGCTGTGGCAGCAGCGGCAGCAGCTGCAAGTGGCTCTGCTGTTCGTGGAGGTGCTCCAGGTGCACCTCAACATCCACCTACGGCAGTGAACGGCCCTCCTGGTGCTGGTCTCCCGGCTGGCCTTCAGGGACTCCATCCGGGAACCGCACCGTTTCTCCAAACGGCCGGAACAACGTTGTTCGATCCGGCAAAGTTTCCCGGGGCAGGGAAAATGGATCCGCAGCTGGCTGCAAGCCTCAAGTTCGGTCCTGGAGCACCGGTCGGCTATCCCCCAATACCTGGAATGCCTCCGTTGGGGGCACTTGGTCCATTAGGGCTTGGCCCACCACCCGTGAGTGCCCCCCCATGTGCTGTCCCCACATCATTTGCTAATCCTGCGGCTGTCGCTGCAGGACAAAGCGCCCCTATCACCAGTAGTTCCAAGGTAGGTATCGGTGATCGATTTATCACTGAATATAATGATTTATTATTATTGGATTTTATGATTTTTTAATCATATGGTTCGACTTGATTAGCTTGGTCGTATTTACCTAGGATTCTTGAGTCGAGGTAAGATTAAGTAAAAGCGTAGCATGTTCATTGGGAACGTCGGTTGATCTGGTCATAAAAATATTGTTACAGGGTCATTCACATCAGAAAAGTTCGAAGCAAAAGTCGTCATCATCTTGTTCTTCAGCACCATCTGCCAGTGTAAGTGGTGGGTCCGGCCCATCTGCAGCGCCATTAGTGTCGGCCGGTAGTGCTCCCGTGAGCACGCCGGCCACAGGCGGTGCTACCATCACGTCTGGCAGTGAACGCGGTAAATGGTGTGCAATGCACGTTCGTATCGCGTGGGAAATTTACAATCACCAGGTGCGGAGTGGACAAGTTACAGGCCAACTCTTAAGTACTCCATCGGTGCCACCGTCGCGGGGACTACACATTCAAGGACCGCCGCCGATTATGGCAAGGCCATCTTCTTCTGGCGGACCGCCCGATCCTGCGGCATTGGCAAAGAGTGCCGTTATGGTAGATTCAATTGGAGCTCCGCCTCCGGCTAAGACGTCACGACCAAACTCGTCTTCGGCGGGCTCAGGTAGTGGACGATCGGCCAACGCGACGCCGACTTCCGCTCGTAACGGACCAACCGGACTTCCTACAGGACTCCCCCCTGGCATGCCATCGATGTCAGCGATGACGGCCATGGGCCCAATGGCTGTTGAACAAATGGCCTCGTTTCCTCCGCTCCTTGCCGCTGCAGCTTCTGCCGCCTCCGCCAACGGCAATCCGCACGGTTAGTAGAATTAGCGTCTTAATTTAAAGTGTTTTGTCGCCTTATGGCGCTCATCTAAGTCAGTCGCGGTGTGGCTTTATATATATAGGACTATACAACAAATTTCTAGAATATGTATTGTCCACCATACTGAGTTTCTTCTTTTTTTTCACTGCAAACTTTTATGAGCAGGTCTTACGCGTCATCCAGCTGTTTCAACTGCTAGTGGCAACAGTCCAGCCGCCATATCAGCAGGTCACCACCCAGCTCATCCGCATCACCCGCACGGACCGAATCCGTACGCCGTGAACCCTTTTATGCCTAATATCAGTTTACCCCCACATGGTTTAGCACCAACGTTAGGTAGCTCTGCGCCAGCTGGTACCGGGCTACCGCCTTCATCAGTGTCTCAATCATTAAGCAGCAATTTCGCACGCACATCGTCAGTTATCACTTCGTCGTCGTCGTCATCGACTTCTGGTGTCAAGTCAATTATGAGTCAACATCATCATCACCATCACCAGCAACAACAGCAACAACAACAGCAACAACAACAACAACAGCAGCAGCAGCAACAACAACAACAGCAACAGCAACAACAGCAGCAGCAACAACAGCAACAACAACAACAACAGCAGCAGCAGCAGCAGCACCAACAACAACAGGCGGCTGCGGCGGCGGCAGCAGCAGCAGCGCAGGCCGCTGCTGCGACCAAAGCTGCAGCTTCCGCCGGTAGCGGAAGCGGCTCGCCATTTACAAGTACCTCACGAGGTTTCCCCCCTGGGGGGCCGTTTGGACATCCGGGAAATCCTGGCGCACACATGCCTCCGCCCCATCCGGGACTAGGTCGGTATTAGGGGGTGATTGCTAGGCAGAATTAACCCATCTCACGATTTTCTATGTATACTGAAACGTGTGTAATAACGGTATTCTTTTGCAGTCACTCGGCATACAGTCAGTCTTTTTTTCTGACGTCTTATATATGTAGGGTTAAAATTCGCTTGGCAATTTACTCATCTGTATTAACGATTTTCAGCAGGTTTTCCAGGCGGTATTCCTTCAGGTGGATCCCTGATACCACGAGAAGCTCTTCTCATGATGGATCCTTACGTCAGGGATCAGTACCGTCTACGGCAAAATCCGTTTGGACCAATGGGCTCGCATCCTGGTCACTCGCAGGGTATTCCACCGAACTTACCCCACGCTTTAGGGTTTCCTCCGGGCTTAACGCCCGGTGCAGTTATGCCAGGAGGTTTACCGCAAGCGTGGGGCGGCTTAAAAGCTGAAGCAGAACGTGAGGAACGGGAACGCAAGGATAAGGAACAACAGCAGCTAGAAAGGTATGATTACTATCAAAAATATTTACTAAATCACTATACTTCTTCTACGTATGTAAAGGTAAAAGATATATTGGACTACAGATGTCTATATATACAATATAGGTTTGTCGACAATCTTTAAAATGCCACTTTCACTAAAAAAAATGGCGATTCTTTGAAAAAATATCGCTCTTATATATTTGTCTTCGAACGAATTTATTCGAATACATTGAGTTTTGAAAATAATTTCACTTTAGAGATAGCAGAGAAATAGTAAAGAGGTAACTGGCCAGGGGGTAATACAGTAATGATGATTTAGTAGGAATTGAACATCTATTACTGACTCGTTGGATGATAAAAACACGTTAAAGGGGTATCAGGATTAAGCTGACTGGAAGTTGAAGCCAGCCAGCTGAAGCAAGGATTACTGAAAGAGTGCGATCGAATAGCTAAAATAATTAACGGATAACAAACAAGTTGGATCGTATCGGTTTTGTATATGGAAATAGCGAGAATCATGGATGAATCAATGAGTGAAACTGCATATCCCTTTACAAACCCCAGGCAGATGTTGTTGAATCGAGGTGTCAGCGGTCAGAGGTCAGATAACAGCAGCGAATCGATTCCGACATTATACAATTTATAAAAATTTAACGTAGACAGGGTCATGAAAAAAGAACTCGTAAAACGAGCACACTACTTATAGTCAAATAAAAAAAACTGTATATTTTTATTATAAAACCCCCTGTTGCAACCCGCTTTGGCTTTTTGGTTGCTGAGCTAGCGATATCTAATTTGCACTACTACAGATATTTTATCTATAAACACCAGTTCGATCGACCGGTTTGTCCATTTCCCGCGCATAGTCCGAACTATCTATCGATCCACTGAACGCTTCTTAATACTGCCTCGTTTTTCTATAATATAATTTTAAGCAAATTTAGATTTTTTCAGTCTGACCCCAAACTCAATGCAGTAAGCCTTGTTATCCTATTCTCATTGTTCTATGACAGTTTTTTTGATACGGTTTTCCGCCTACCCTGATCCAGTAAACGCAATGTACGTATCGTGTCATTGCTATAGTTTGTTGCGATATCCTATTTTGGCGATTCTGCCTTTACATTCTTGTTAAACTATTCAGTTACCCTAATCGGGATATTTTATTGCCGTGGTCCAATCGCCAGC